TTTTGCAACTTGCCTCATTGTTGGTATTTTGTGCTGGGGGCGAAATGCCTCTTATGTACAGAAAGTGGCGCACTTCCGTCTGTGATCTGCTACACTGATGTTCGTATCGAAGAACGCCAACGAAGTAGTCAAAACTTGTCGCCAGTCCGTTTTGCTGCACGAATAGCAACTGCTGCGGTCTTGTCTTTCTTCCTAAGGTGCAAACAATTGGGCGACCTGAGGCCTGGATGGAACCACGCTGCACCAATATCGTACAGCGTCTTGCCGCTCACTTGAATTGTGGCGATAAATGGTATTCTATTTTTTTATAGCAGAAATGAAATGTATAGCTCGGCAGTGATCTGGAGCTTCACTAGCTCGTTCATGGCGGAGACATGCTTATTTGAGTACGTGTTGTGTATTTACAACGGCAAAACGCACGACGAGCATTTTGTCACATCCTCGAATATGGTTGATTTAATCGTTCTCATGATTCTTCTAACACGAGCTCGTTATATGCTGCCATTGATGCCAAACTGGGTGCGCTACAAAACCTACACTTACAATTCTTTATTAAACTAAATTTGATGAACTAAAATAAAATCGTACAAACTATCAGAAAAACAAGTCAAAAGCATTGATAAAAAAGAACATTTATATTCATGCTCTTCTCTTCTACATTACGCTCCATTTTATAGACTAATCCCTTTCTGTCGGATTCGCACCGCGCCATTTTCGCGCGTCCAAGCACTCGCAAACAATGCCCCTCAATTGAAGCCGGCGTCATGCTGGAATGTCTTGTCCACGAAGCAACACATATTTAACTCTCAATAAGCCCATTTTACCACTCCCGTCGTCTCATCACCATTTTTATTTTTGCATTCCGACGTGAGCTTTAAAATTGTGCCCATTTTTTATTCCAGTTACCGGTGGGGTAAACCTGCTGTCGGTTCCCCACCTCAGGCCCGTATTTTGGACCCGAGAATGGGTATATGACGGGCAACCGAATATGTTACTCCCCGCACTGCTCCGAATGTTGACGACGACGCGTGCTTGACTTGAGAGCTTGCGAAATTTGTTGCACCAGCAATTGTGCCAATCACCGCACCCGATGCCATAGCCACTTTGTCGGTCGTATAATTTGTCGCTCGAACTGCAGTGTTGCCGGTCTTGCGAACCACATTCGATACTCCACGAACTGCTTTGTTCTTCGTGTTTACGGCAAATTGCTGACCTTTATATAGTTTGGTGAACGCCACTGAAATTGTAGCATCCACCTTGTTGTCAACCGAATTTAGCACTGGTACAACCAACGATTGATCCACGTCGAAGAGCGTCTTCCCAGTCACAGTAGCTAAAACCGTATTGACTGTGGCTTTACCCAAATGAGCAAATGGTTTTACCACGCGAAAGCTAGTCGTGTAATCGTACAGATTTTTGCTCGTTTCGTAATAGTACGAGGCTCGCATGAACCACGGCCGGTGCGTCTCCGCAGACGGAACAATTTTGTCGACTTGCTTCATTTGCGTCCATTCAGCGCTATAGACGATATCTAAAGTATGTGAATTTATCATGGAACCGAACGTACACGGCAGCCATTGGTTTGCAACGCCTTGGATAAAAGCTCCAAGTGGTTGTGGCACAGATACTATCGGCTTTTCTTCACCTTCCTCGAGCAATTCAATAAGAACTTCTTCCGACTCAGTCGATGCTTGGACGTTACTGAAAACAACACAAGAAGTAACAGACTCGTTAGAGCAGTTAATCACATCCAAAAGCTTAAGACGTACAAACGCAAAACTTCTTCAATTTCAGTGTCAGTCGTCAGGAATTTCGATTGAACAGAATTGTTGCCTGCAGCCAGACGCACAGATAGCTTTTTGTTCGGCTTGTCACCTTTGACAGTATTGAGTCGATGGACTGCAGCAATCAATCAGCAGGAGAGAAGTTTGTCAAGTTTTTGAAATAATTTAGAGCCATAACTATATAGCAGGACGCACCATGGAAAGTCAGTGTTCCAGACACCACCATCCCGTCCTGATCCCCGTTGAGACTTTGCGTGTTGAGAAGTAAATCGGAAATGAGGAATCTCAGCCATCGTAGAATTTTCCAGTTGCCCTGCACACCCTCTCGCCCATCCGGGATGGGCGCTTTTCAAGAACCTTTCCCTTGATGCTGAGGCTGATTAGATATTTGTATACAGCGATAGATGGACACCGCTTGACCTCGGCATGCCGCAGCTGCAAATGCAAGCAGCAACCTAAAGAAGTTCGGTGTCTCACTATAAAATAACGGCTTCGAAATTTCACGATTTGCTTGGAGTTTGTATGCCTGACTATGATTGTCAACGTGACGGTCTGTATTCAAGCAGTTTCTTTAAAATATTGGATGACGTTTGGCTTGTCACTTTTGATGTGATGCCTTGCAAAAACCAAATTATTTGCGGAATAGAAACTTCAACCTTGAAGTGAAAATATCCCTTTATTATTACAATAAGGCTCATACTTGCAGTGTGGCAAAATTTGTGATAATGAGAAACGGGTGGTTAATTACAAGTTTTGCCGCCTTTTCATTAATCCGTTTTGCCGGCCTATCAGATGAGTCTATAAAACTCTTCATGACATTGGCCATTAAAAAAATGACGCAGCTGCCGATAGGTCAAGAGCTGAACGCTATCCAGGACGGAACCACTCTAGCTTATTCTCTGAGTTTACCGCATATATCTACGAATCTGCTCTCTGCAGCACAGCGAAGCGAGCTGAACAGTTCAAATTTGAGGACGGTTTTTTCGTTCTCGTCTGCAGCATAAGTCCAGCTCTCATCCTCATTAAACCACAACATTGTTAAAAATTCAAGTTATGTACGGTGACACAAATTTGCAGCTGGATATTAGGCAGATTCAAGTGTACAACAAATTTACATCATTGCCGTACTTTTTTACTGCAATATTAATGGACGAAAGTATGCCCCTGGACTTGTTGGTAGAGAAAAAGTACGAGATACTCCTCATATAACTCAACGTCGAATATTATCATTATTGTACCTCAAGGTCATGTTATGATCAATTGTGATTGTAAACAGCTGCCCATGTACTACAGTCGTATCGTCGGTGGATGGACGCCCTTCGACATCGAATGACGCACGTATTTCAGTTGAAATATCAAATCGTCCAGCGCCGCCAGATATCGAATGTCGCCGACTTTCTCTGCGTTTGACAACAAGAAAATATCTATTTTTTATTACATCCTCTGCCTCATTTCTTAATTAGTTGGCTTTGCGAAATTTAAAATAGACAAAAATGGTGACGTCTGGAACGCTTACATTCTTAGTGCAAGGCATTGAAGCTACTTTTGGGGAAGAGGCACATATTAACAAGAAGCTGGCCGTGCGTTTCGCCGTGGGAAATTCCGAGTACACTACCAAGTTTTCGAAACATGACGCGCGCATCGATGAGCACGCCACGCTACAAGTGCATGAGGCTGCAGCCGATGCCACACTCACCATCGAATTGCTACATGAGAAAACGAAAAAACCGCTTGTGAGCACACTTAAGCCGCTGGCTGATTTCCAGAGTAATTCATCTAATCGTAAGATGATGTTTACTTTTGGTGCCAAGTCGGCACCCAATAAAGTTGTGCTATCCTACAGTGCCAACTGGGAGTCAAGCGAGACTAAAGTCGCCACTTTTGATGCTAAACGGCCATGGTTTATGCGTGTAGGTTACTATTATGACACGACCAAAAATGTGTACAACTACACCACAAGCTTCCGCGTCGTGAAGCCTTTTGCAAGATTCGGGGAATCGACAGCCAATACGGTGGTTGAAAAGGTCAGCGGCAAGACGCTTCATGAGATCGATGAGGCGTGGGTTGGCCCTGGTCTCGACGCGCTAGACAATAAAGTGGATGCCACTATAATGGCTGTGGCTGGGACGCTCTATACGGGTCAGCAATACGCGCTTAAGAAGAAGGATGAGGCTGTTGAAGCGGCGTCGCATGTCGTTAAAAAAACGAGCGAGAAAGTATCGGACGCTGTAGGTGCTACGGTACATACGGCCACGAATGTCAAGGACTATACGACTGAAAAGGTAGTCTCGGCCACTTCGACAGTGTATGGCACTGTAGCCTCTGTGGCTGACTACACGAAAACGCAAGTGGTGCACGCTTCATCGTCCACCTACGGTACAGTCAAGGGCGTCACCTTTACAGCGCTCAGCTACGTACCTGTGATCGGTCCTAAGATTGCGGTTTAAATTGAGTAGCCCACTGGATGAATCAAGCCATATATTCTTGTGTGGCCTTCAGAATTGTAAAAATTTCTTTTAAAATGTGATAAATACTGCTTCAAAACCTTGTTTTTGAGACGAAAGTCAAATATTTACGCCGCTTCAAGCTTAAGGTCTAGTGATAATGTCTGCGAAAATGTGTTTGTTACCTAATAATTTCAAAATGGGTAAATTTCGATTAAGAGAACTCTATCAGTGTATGTTAATTACTCATTATCATCTTTATGTTGCACCTGAATATGATATTCCTTCAGCTGCTCAGGAAGCACAGGACCTGGCGCATTTGTCATAAGTTCATTACCTGTCGATGACTTTGGAAATGCAATCACATCGCGAAGACTTGAAGCACCACACAAAATCGCGACAAGACGATCTAGACCTAAGGCGAATCCACCATGTGGTGGAGCTCCGTGGCTCAATGCTTGCAACAAATGTTTGAAGCTTTGGCGTTGTAGCGTTGACAAATCTAGCACATCCTCAAAAATTGCTCGCTGCAGCTCGGCCTGATGAATTCGGATGGAGCCTCCACCGAGCTCCCAGCCATTGCAAACAATGTCGTAGTGTTGTGCACTAATATTCAAAAGCTTTTTGACGATTTCCGGATCTTCTAGCAGCTTTTGCTTTTTCCCTTTACCAGCCAAAATCTCATCCAAAATGACAGCATCTTCACTACAGGGAGCGGTGAACGGATGGTGTGTAGCTGACAGCGAGATCTGCCCGTTGCCAATGTCGTTAAAGCTGTCGTTGTTATCTTCAATGCGCTCGAACATGGGGAAATCAATGACCCAGAGATGATGAAAATTTGATGGATCCAATTCTTTCTGCAGAAAACCTTTAGTGTACAGCAATTGCGCCGTGTGCGTCCGTAAGCGCCCTAGAGTTGCATTTACGTCGGAATACGGACCAGCGGAAAAAATGAGAACATCATTTTCTTTTGCATCAAGCCGTGTATTCAATTGATTGATCGCAGATTCAGTAAGCTTTGTGGTTAATGAGGATTTCCACTTCTTGTCTGTTTGCACCTCGACCACGAAGATGCTTGAAGTTTTAGAGCCACGTTTCGCCACCATTTTCAACTCGTCAATATCCTTGCGGGAAAACCTACCGCTTGCTAGGGACTTTGCATTTATCGCACGAATCACTCCACTGTTATCAAAAGATTTTGAGTCTTTGTTTGCAATCGCTGTCTTAAAAGGAGTGAACTCGCATTCTTGAAGTATATCGTCCACATCCTGCAATTCGATACCAAATCGCGTATCCGGCTTATCTACCCCAAACCGGTTCATAGCTTCCTTCAACGTCATTCGTTTAAATTTTCGATCGGGAAGATTCTTGCCTGCTGATTTCCAAATCTCTTTCACAAGACGTTCCACCAACTCCATCACATCTTCACGTGTAACAAATGACATTTCTAAATCAATTTGTGTGAACTCTGGTTGACGATCAGCTCGTCCACCTTCATCTCGGTAACACCTTGCAAGCTGAAAATATCTGTCAAGACCTCCGACCATGAGCAGTTGCTTGTACTGTTGCGGACTCTGTGTTAACGCGTAGAATTGTCCTGCTGTGCGTGTGGGCACTAAAAATTCTCTTGCTCCTTCTGGTGTGCTCTTGAATAGCGTTGGCGTCTCAATTTCAAGAAATCCTTCAGAACATAAAAAATTTCGTGTAGCAAGTGAAATTTTGGATCGAATAACAAGATTTTGCTGCAACGCTGAGCGACGTAAATCCAGGTATCGATGACGCAATCTCGTGTCTTCATTGGCTATGTCAGATCCTGTAGCCACTTGAAGGGGCAAGTTGACACACGCATTCAGTTCGACAAGTTTGTCTACTACCACTTCTATTGCCCCTGTAGCTATTTTCGGGTTGTGCATATTGACTGGTCGAGCTCGAACGATACCCGTGGCTTGGATCACTGACTCAGGACGAATCTTGTAGATGACATCACTTGCTACTGCTAAGAAGTTGCTTTCTAATACGAGCTGTGTGATACCATAGCGATCTCTTAGTGAAAGAAAGCAAATGGGACCGAATGGACGAATGGAGTCCACCCAACCGCTCAAAGTCACGCGGTGGCCTTCGTGTGATTTCTGCCGTAGCTCTCCACATGAATGTGTGCGGAATGAACTAAAGAATCGAGCACTTTGTATTCGCGTCAACCCTTGTCGCAGTCTACAGACAACAATACATAAAGGTGAAGTAGTGCAATAGATAGATCAGAGTAGATGGTCAGTCCCTTACCTCGTGAAGAGCATTACTATATCATTAACAAAATGTAGCACTCTCTACCATGAAAATATAGTACTTACGTGTACCACCTACATCACCACTCCTTTCAATCATTTATATGGTAGCCACCGGAGTCTTTACGGCCGCAACAAATGGTGTCGTTGTCTCGGTCAGAAACACGACAGTGCTTGTGCTGACTTCGATCGACTCTGCAACACAGGAGTTTATGCAATTTGAGGTCTTGAGAGATGCGGATAGTGCAAGTGAGTCAATAGAGGTAGCGAGTGATGATGAGAGCACGGAGAAGAAGAAGTCTACCCAACCCGCACCACCTGCAAATCGTATCACAGCGGTGAAGATCTTTTGTCCTCAGAATTCGAATGTCATGGCATTGTTAATTCTTGTGGATGAACGGCGTCTGGTGCATTACGAACTGGATGTGATGGCCAAGACGCTGGTACTGAAAGCCTCACGCTCGGTACCTCGTAGCGCAACATGCATGACAATTAGTTCGTTGAAGTTACCAAGTGGAGATACCAAGTACGTGGTTATTATAGGCCAAAAAACGGGTGACGTCGTCGCCGTGCCTTTTCCAGACATGGACCGTGACCTAAAAACGCTGTTGGGCCACACCACATCAATGGTCACTCACATGGCAGTCAATCATGATTCGACATTACTTTTAACGGCAGACCGTGACGAAAAGATTCGTATTTCACGATTTCCGAATACATCAATTATCGAAAGTTACTGCTTGGGACACGTTGCAAGTCTCACTAAAATAGCTTGTAGCACGTTGACCCCTGAACTGGTGGTTTCGTCGTCTATGGACAACACTATAAAGTTATGGAAGATAAAGACAGGAGAGTTGATCGCCTCAAAAGTTTTGCTTCCTGGTTTAGAGGTCTCTGTGAAGCCACTTGATGACGCTGGCCACAGGGCTGCTAAGAGCCTGATTAATGTGTCGCTGACTATTTGTCCAAAAACGAACATTGTAGCTGTGCTCGTGGACTCCCAGCTTGTGTTATTTTTTGAAATCGTTATTGCCAATGGGGCTTACACACTAAGAGAGCTGGTCATTTTGGATGAAGGTGTCCAGTCACTGGTAGTGAACGAGCCTTGCGAGCTGTTGTTCACAGAAACCGAGATATTAGTTGTGTCGTATAAGCAGCATCCATTTCTGCAGCTTTTTAAATTATCAAAGAGTGATGATGGCCACAAGCTGCTGCATGTTAGTGCTGGAACTTCTGCTTTCGATGATTTTCGAAGTGCCGCTGCAAAAATTCGTAAGTCCAACAAAATAGACTTGATACATCTCAGAACGATACTAACTGTTGTGATATTACAGAATTGGCCGATGAGGACGAGAAAGTCTTGGAGAAGCTTGAGGATGGTTGGAAGAAGAAGAAGGCTCGAATTGGCACATGGAACAAAAAGGTGCCTTGTACAGATGAATGAAATTTTTGCTTTGGTCATAAATAATACATCAGTTTTGTCCTTTTGGATGTATTTTACCTATGAATTTGTTTGTTTTGACAAGCACTAGCTTAGCTAGAAGAATGCAACAGCTTTCTTAATGACAAACCTCCCATAGTTACTATTTTTTGAGCCAAAATTACCTTTTTTGCAAAAGAGTACATCCCCTTAAGAACAAACAATCAAAAATATATTTTTACCATGTAGTTATAAAAAGTAAAGTTAGGATATTAATAAAAAATATCTGAAGATGTGTGTGCACAAGAAATACACAATTCGCGATCCAAAATCCATTGAGAATTTCGTAAAATTGTACGGATAATACAATTGCGCCAATTGTGTAAGGGTAAAGTACATACGATCATAGTACCTGCCCCGCTATACATCCGACTATGATGCGGACTAATCCGGTGTTCACACTTATCGTTGTCATTATGATATTGCGCAACATCGAACGCTCCGCAGGCAACCCCTGCACATGAAATTCCACTCCAATCTTTGCAATTTACTGTGCCTGTTCTACAGAATATATTTGCACTTTCGTGCACCAAGTGGATCGTGACTCAATGAAGCGCCGAAGAAGACGTGGTCTACACGACCGATGAGCTAAAGAAATTATCAGTGAAGATGCTAGATGTTCTTCGATAAGAATGGTCGTATGGACACTTCAAATCTCGATCAAGCAGCTCCGCCCTCACCAACAACACACAGCCTAGCCGTTCGTGGAAGTGCTTGGGCTCTCTAGCAACTTCCTAACAGAAGCGGTTTTTGCGCGGGCACGAAGCTGAGATGACGCTCGTGTAGAAAACGAGTTTTCCCGAAATTGATAGTTACTGTATTGCAGAAAGCCTCGAGCTGAGATCGAAAGACAGAGGTGCTAGTAAGGTGAGGTTGCAGGATGAAACGAAAGACAGCAATTGCGTATTGCGATATTCAGAGAATATTATTATAGCGGGAAAGAACGACTGTATGTCGTCATTCTTATGAAATATCTTTGGCGGGACGGTGAAGATCAGTTGTGTGCTGTTGTATTCTTTGTTACGGACGGTGGAGAGAGATGGTGCATTATCCTAAACCTGAGCGGACGACTTTGGGGCGGCTAGAAGTCGCAAGAAGAAGGACTAGCAAGTCTTTATCTTATTACAGAGGGACAATACTGCTGAGTCAGCGCTGATATCACCGTGCGGATCCGTAAATCTCCACGGGTAGGTGGCAAAAAAATTATTGCGAATGGAGTAAATGACGTGGTCCTTTGGATTGTAAGACTTCCCTATCTACTTACGGTAGAGGCTTTTATAGAGCTGGTATCGTTATTTTCGTGAACATGTTTAAGGATCCGCGAGATAGTGAGGCCACTAAAATGATAGCATCTGTACCGAATTTAAGGCTAAGAACGTCGTTCGTATATGCTCTGATGACGAAAGACCGAGCAAGGCTCACCAAACTATATTGACTCAGCCATCAATGTCACTGAGTGCAAAAGTGGAACAGCTATCCCCAAGAAGACTTGATAATCTCTGGGAATGAAACATCACGACGTGATGATAAGACATTCATCACTCGTGTCATACCTAGATAGTGGAGGGTGTCATGATTCCAACTTGGTCATCACATCGAATTTGTGGCGCAAATATACCTCTTGCCAAGATCACAGTGTAACTTCATAATCGCTTTTTAATACGACGCATGAATCGAGATGTTGAGAGAGTAAATTTCCCTACTCGACCTTGTTTTTTTTCTAGAAAGGCTCAGAATTATCGGCGATTGTGAATGTTTATAATAAGTTATACGCAGCCACGCTTCCAACTCCAGCATCGATTATGGAATGTGAGGCTGACAAATATGATCGGATGCATTCCACAATAATATTGAAGAGTATTATCAACTTCTGATGAATACATCGAAATTCTAGGCACAAGCTTGTTCCGACGATATATTCGCTTATAGTTGTGCAGCGCACGGTAAATTAGGATAGGGGGAGCTAATTGTTGAGTAGTGGAAGGCAAATGCCAAAGTGAATTAGTTAGCAGCTACACAATCTACCCTTCCTACATATCTGTAATTACCTTCCTGTGTGCTCTTCTTGTTCCCTGTTCCTTGGTAGCAGCCGCTCTCGAGCTTCTCCCTGCGAAGCCCCGACAAGATGAAAGTCACGAGAAAGTAGTTCTGGATGTGATCCAATCACATCCATCACTCACTCCATTATCACCCAATCAGATTTTGTCATACGGATTCCAGTCATCATTCGTCGAGTCAGTTGGCTCGTCCAGCTCTCATTACGCGACGCTACTTCAATACTAATTAATCACTTGCGAGCTATGCTCGAGAATATGCGCTTAAATAAAAAACAGACCATTGTGTCTTTTACATCGACAAATTCATTCTTCTGGATTGCTTCAGCCGGAAACACGACTTGCGGGCAGATCAAACGATGATAAGAACCATTGTTCAATGGACAATGCTTCTGTCCTCTAATGATTTAAGAAGAGCGGCTTAGCCCGGACTGTTCATACAAATACAGTGCAAATAATGCCGAGGTGGTACGATTTCTCCACAATCGATTTGAATATGATGTAAAATATTGTTGGGTGGGGCAGGAGATTAATTTCAACAAGGCTCTTCCAAATATCGATCGACCATGATTCATCGGTCTTTGCAATAGGCTGCGCTTTGCGCCAGCTCACCCTGTTGTAATCTACTCGTTGAAAAACAGTGTGATGGATAATGACTTTTCAGCGGCAAGACCCCGCAAAACAAATTACGGCTGTGTCTCAAGAAATTTTGGTTGGAGCGCCCATCATATGTGAGTTCCTCTTGAATGATTGTAGAAAATAGTTTAACGGTATTTTTACTAAGCGTGGGAAAAGGTGGCTTTTTGCCGGCCGAATACACAAAATATTTGCGCAAATGTGAGCTTGTTCTCGGTGCTCGTCGCTCGCTTTGGAAATCCCGCTGCATCGACGATGATAAAAAGACTTGAAGGTACCATGTGTCGAATCGAGCAGTTGCAGACCAAGCAGACCGAATATTGACTAGATGCGGACTAGGCTTGAATCAAGCACTGAAGTTGCTGAAACTACTCAACTCACAAGTGGATCGATAACTGAATAAAGCTACAACAAGAATAGATTTTGCCACCAAAATGAGGAAATGAACCGTTTAAATGACGCTGCGCCAGTATGGTTTTTACTATCGATAATGTCACAAAATGTGATGATGCCTGCCCCCTTGGGTTACTTGCGTACAGAGCTGTTCCGAAAGCTTGGTGATTTACGAGCAAATTTAAGCGTACTGCAAGCGACAAGGAAGCACAGAACTTCATATTTTCTATCATCTTAAAATATACTGTATCTATCTCAATAACCTCGGCCATTCTTCGACTCCGCAAATATTATCGCCTTGTTATAAGGAGATTACGTCGAGCATGCTAGATATGTTGACTACAACCGACAAGAATATAAAAATGATGAGGACCCTGTTCTCAAAGTTCTCGAAACATATACCGTCGTTACAACGAGGCCATTTTTACAAAGCAACTGGCATTATTTGCACCAATAACTTCCGGTCTTGGCGATGTGGTAGCCTAGAAAAGTGTTCAATTGAACTCAGGATAAAGAACACGGCGACTGGCCAGAAAGTCTGTACATTTGACTCAGTAAACTATTATAGAGCTAGCAGACTTAGCCAATGATCCAAGTACCAGACCGATTTGATTCTGGGTAGACACGTAATTGAGTCGGTCTTGATAATATCAAGACCGACTCAATTACCCATATTATGGGGTCAAATTCTACAACAGCTTTTTCAAATGTTATCGAAAATCATCAAAAATCCGTTTTAAAAAATGTTAAAAGAATTGTTTAAGTGAAGAAGATTGTCGATTACACAACGCCAATTGTTTTAGTCTATGCTCAACACTTGAAAATTGCCGTACGGCGTTTCCCTAACGTGACGAAGCCTTTTGCCATGCTGGATCACATCTCAACAAAATTTCAGACATCAAACAATTTTTGATCCGTTTATTCAGCGGTACAGTGTGTTTGCTGAATCTCTCGGTGCTTCATCGACCACAAAAGTCAGTGATCATGACCCGATAATTGTGCTTGAACCCTTCATCAAGAAAAAATCGTGCGATGGCTCGATTCTCGCTTCTACGGCTAATTACACTAGTGTCGACAGCAAGACAAATCTGGCGAGTCAATGAACTTATCAGCAGAATTTACTGTTTGTTTGTATCATTGTGATACGTCGACTAGAATTGAAGCAACAAAATCTTTAACGGATCCCAAGAGAGCCATCATGCGGATTGGAAGACGACCTCAATTTTTGGACGCAGGCTTAGATGACTTTGAGGCAAGTTCAGCAAAATCTATTTTCAGATCTACTTAAACCATTGTGAAATTGCTTTTGGGCGTCGAGTTCACAAAACATCCTTCCAAGGAATCTCAGAAGATAAACAATTAAGAGATGATCTGGCGGATCTGCCTAAACATCATAGTGCCATATGAGAAAGTCGTTAGTATTCGATCTAGAAGAGGCATGCGCTGCATGCCTTTAGACGCCTTATCTTATATTCTCAATGGCTTTACGAGAACCTTTGACATCACCAGGAAGTGGCCCAGTATTAAAGGGTAGGGCTGTCCATAAAATTCTACTCGTTGCTGTCAGCTGTGCTAAGCTTCAAAAGCAAAACCGCTGGTACGGTTTCAATAAAATCGAGCATCATATGCAGAGCGCGCAATGCTGTATCTCTGAAAGCAAAGATAAACAAAAGTAGCGCTGATATCACACAGCCAAAACACACACGAACATGTTGCAGAAAAAAGTGCACATTAAATACAATTTAGGTACTTATGGTCACATTGCAATACGTTGGGCTGTGGTGCGATCGCGCTGATTTAAGATTGTGACTATTTTTCTCACTTTACTCAGAACACCCCCCCCAATGGAAGCACACCCTGTGCCCACCATTGGATTCCTACAGCACCACACTTTCACGAGCCAGTTGAATATGAGAAGCTTTATTATAGACAGAGCAACATCTTTGTAGCTAAGCTACAATTGCTAACCGCTGGGATGCTCAAGTCACACATGGCGATTGCAAAGCTTATAGTGTGCATACGAGGCCCAATCCATCTCAGCTAGAAGCGCACACCAAAACATCCGCATCAAGTAGATATTCAGCCACATCCGAGAGAGCTCACGAAATCCAATTGCGAAAAAAGTTGACCTTAATCTTGTATGCAAGGGTGTAACCGGACCGGAATTATAGTCTTGTGTACTACAGCCTAACGCATTCAGTACAGTTGTATCGACTACAAAAGCAATTCAGTATGAGGCTCTCTCATACAGCCTCAAGCACGGCACACTTGCTTGAAGACTTTTTAGAATCGCAATTGGATCGAAAAGCGATTTTATATGTAAAGCTACATGAATATCAATACTAGAGGTCCTATTTTTATGTAAAGAACCTACACATGCAGAAATAAAATTTATGAATTTAATATACAAAACTTTGGGCACACGAAATTCAACCCAGAGAAATCTTGGTTAATTTGAACTTGAAGTCTTCGTTTCCGGAAAAGTGACTGGCTCGTGCCACTCGCTTCAAATGGCAAAGACACGTCGATCTCATCATCAGTTTAGATCATCAAATAGAATACCGTTGAGGAGTTAATGAATGTCATCACTCACACTCTGTTTTGATTAGTACATGAATGACAATCACTCTGTACCGTAAAGTACATGCAAGCATCATTTTGCATCGATGACATACGTAAACAACATCCAATGATGTCACCCGTGCATGTGGGATCTGTCGTCCTGTAAGCTGTAATCCTTTCGTTATTTGTCATCACAATGCTCGTTGAAGGCGATGTGTACCACAGAGATCCACCTTCATGTAATAGTTTATTACTTTGGTGTATTTGTCAATTACAAAAATCCCAAAATACTGGTATTTATATTTATGTAGAATCTACAACATTTTTTCCGGAAATCCATATCCATATCTGATATGGATTTCCGGAAAAAATGTTGTCGTGCTGCTAGCCACACTACACGTAAGATCAAAGAGGCGGTTTTATCATAAGAAAAGGAAAAACGTATGTATTTAGCACCAGTCAAATAATATTATTTCAAATGTATGTACTCTTAAATAGCAAGCTGACTAGACATCTGGCTAAGGTAATTCCACTCTTGGTAGGAGCGCGCGAATCCAATCGCCGTACGTTTGTGATCGTGAATTTGTGCAAATTGCATGGCACCTCGCTGCACATCTGTACCGAGCATGAAGCATCTTGCTACTTTGTAACTTTTGGATAAGGTTCTAGAGACAAAATTGGCAATAATAAGACGTTACGTGCTTCGTAGATATCTAGAATATGCGGAGAGTAACAGAAAAGCGCTAGCAAAAAGGACTGCTTATATCATTAGGCATCTAGACCTCCGACTTTAATGTAGCTGGCTTTTCATCTGGAAGTCGGCATGAGATCAATGTAATAAATATATGTATAAGTTAATTTTTGCTGTGACAAAAGTAATGAAATTTGCTCCTCACATAATCGAATGGGTCAATTAAATTGATATTCCGCTCTTTCCACACGGCTTTACTGATGGCGTAAACATGCTACAACACACAGTAATTTCACGTCCACATTAATAATGTATACGAAGTGGTAAAGCTTTAAGATAGTCACACAAAAATCGTCTTATTGCTAAGACGATTAGTCAACAATGCAATAAGTTGTTGGTCAAAGTGAAGTAAATATTGCCAGTTAATAAAGAATCTTTTCTGGTCTATGCTTACGCAATCAGTGATTTCTTTCCAAATTCATTGTGTCCAACGTTTGAATTTTGGAAAAAAATGGCGGATTTTTTAAGCTATGCAACAGAAAAGCATCTAGTGTTCCTTACAATAAAGTTTAATACTTGCATCTTTAAATCTTGCAGGCACTTAAAAGTAGTAAGAATTGTTTTAGATATAGAGGAAGAAGAAGTCGCATTGAACGAAGCCATTTTGCCTCTTGCGTCTCAAGGTCAGATTTTAAAGCTCACAAAAGTGTTCTATTGCTCGAATCCATTTGTCGAGCCGGTCTAGAGTTATTTTTATGGTCTGATGTTGATAGTAACGCATCTATTGAGAAGCACAACATGACCAAATTATACGCGTGACGTACGAAGTCAGCGCTCATCTACACAGCACGCTTCAAGTCGAGAGAGTGGCTACAGATCGGCGTCTTGTTCACCAGATTTTTGATCAATAGCTTAAAACCTTTTTAATAAATAGTAAATTAAGTTTGACAAAAAAATCATATACTTTCTTTCTATGTGTACGTATCACTTGTGATCTGTTGAAATATTTTTATTAACAAGCGGCGACGTCTCGTCTTTCACGTCATATTCTGAAGCTAAAGGAGATACAGAGCATGATTTGTCACATAAGTGGGCAAGCTTCTGTTCTTTTGAACATACCAGCTATGTTTTCTATCGAAGTGCTGTAAGGGCAACCACAGAAAACTATCCATATGCTCTCCATCGTTCGTGTAAATCAAACAAATTGCTTGAGCTAGGAAGTGGCGACATCTTGTTTCAAATTTCAAGTTCTAGAAAATTCAATTCGACAACGACTCGTCAAATCTGTTGCCGCAGGTGCGTACAAACTTTTATAACACGATTAGTAAATTTTCTTTGCCAATAAGACGACAACAAATTATAGTTGTGTATTGATCAAACATATGTTCAGTATCTTTCTATGTGTGCAAATAGAAAAATGATTAATTGCTACGTTCATGAATCTTGTTCAACCACCCAAAACTTTGATGTTTATGCACAAAAGACTCACCGATACCAATTTCATGTTAATTTTCCGGCTTTATTCGTCTTAATGATAACGTTAAAAATGCAGATTTTCATTTCTCGATTCGCTCTCAATCGTCTACTCATCGACTCTTCAATCGAGTTTAAGCTTCAAAAAGATGAAGTTCTTTCCTACTATCAATGCTGCTGTCGCTACGTGCATTTTGACTCGTTTCGATGGTGTTATGGCTGAAACATCACAAGAATCCAACGAACCACAATGGGCCTACCATTCTCATGACAATCGTATGATTAACTGGGACAGGTGGGCTGAAGTATGGCCATCATGCGGTGGTGATAGACAATCACCCATCAACATCGTTTCACGTGATGTGATAGTGGCTGAATCAAGACTACCACTAGCTTTCAGCGGAATTTGTCCTGACTTTAATTTGTCAGCGCCCCACGAGCCGCTTGAGGCTGACGTTCATGAAGGTAACTATATTTATTGTAATATCATATGCTGAATGCTGATCGGATCGGATATTAGGCAGCTGTGAGGTTTCGGTCAACTCCACCGTTTTCAAGTTGACACAGTTTCATCTGCACGCTCCAGCGGAGCATACGATAGATGGCGTCCAAAAGAACGGTGAGATCCACTTTGTACACAGAGCCAATGATAGCGATGCTCTTTTGGTGGTGGGTATCATCCTTGAAATTAGTCCAGTATCGGACCCGTGGTTGAACCCCTTGCTGGATGCCCTCGAACATGTTAATTCAACAGTTCCGTCAGAATCTGTCATTGTGCAACTGTAAGTTTAATCACAAGCAGGTTCATATTTTGAAATTGTTTTGATGACGCTAACGAGATTATTTTAATCTGCTGTGAAGGAGCTCGTATGCGAATCTCATTAAAACAGCATTTGAGATTGGAGGTGCTTACAATTACCCAGGCAGTCTGACCACTCCTGGATGTGAGGAAACTGTTGATTGGTGGGTGATAAAGTCACCAATTATGATCTCAGTTATCGACTATGACCGCCTTCATACAGATCTACTCGAGTATGAGATCACAAATAATGGCAACAATGCTCGCCCAGTTCAGCCTCTGCAAGGCCGCACCGTTTTGTATTACACGCCAACCGCCTTTGGATTAGACATGTATCCAACACCGAAACAGAATATAGTATAGACTTAGAGTCGGTTATACTCATGTAAATACGACAACAGCAGTAGCCATCTTACATCTCCTATTTCTTATCTTGTCATATCTTCAATATGTAAAGCAATCATCTCTGCCTTATTCTAAGCCGAGTTAAAGTTGCTGTGTAAGAAATTTATATAAATGGAGTCATGGAATGGGTAAAGATGCTCAAAATTATAGATTTCAGGGCCAATCAAATTTAATAAGAATAACCAACAGTAATTTCTATCACTTTCAATTGGGAATTTTGCATCAATTAAATGAATGTTGCTACTTCTATTATTGTTTTAATTCTCAAGTTCAATTTAAAAGCGGGAGCTAGATGCGTAGTTACATCTGATGATTATTATGAAACATTGTTATCCATTCACTTTTGGTATAATTATACCAAATGTTAGTCTGCACAATTGTACGAAATTCACATTGCACTTGTGTGTAGTGTGATCGGAGGATGCGGAGGTTATACGTGTGAGCCCAACACTTACAGCCAAAGCTAAATGTGCGAGAAATCCGCACCGCGAGTATTTTCTCAACTCACAGATGTCGAATGTGCTTTAAAAAATAGATTTTTAGCAAAATTGTCGCTGAGTATATGAATTAATCTGGGCAATGATTGGATAAAACACATTAAGGATTTACACGCCAGTTTCAGCAAAGCGGACGTCCGCCTTGATCGTTGATTCATGTTTGACTTCGCAAACAAATAAAAAGGTTTCCTTGCAAACTATCATCTAAAGTTGCTACCGCTGACAACTCTACCAGTCTCTATGAGACAATATTATATCAACCAGCCGAAAAATTTATTCTCTGCAAGGTCGGTCTTCACTCACTCGTGGGAAGCTCGATGTGACGTCTGATAATGCAACTTATCAAATCGCAAGCGACCTCATTATCAGGACAATTTTGCCTAAACGGAGTCTCGAACATCTTAAAATGTTCA